GGCACAATGTACGGACTAAGAAAGGACGTATTCAGATAATTTGGTGGCCCTATTTCATATAATCTCGCGTACATAAAGATGCGATTCCACCAGTGTGCTGAACTGTGCGGCACTCTAATACACAGTGTACAGCACAAATGTTTCTTCTGGTCGACTCACCCACGCAAACAGTAGCAAATTGTGCGCAAACATTTCGGAAACGTTCGCGCACATCAGTTACTTTTGTGCGCGCACACATGCAAGCAGTGGACTCGCGTCGGCGGATACATACTTGTTCGCGAACTCAGTATTGCTCCCGCTCCTGGAGTGAAAACATTTGTTTGTACGCGCACTTTTTTACGAAATTAAAAATGGACTGGACGAATGATCAAATTATAAGATTTATTCAAGCAGTTGAAACGTATCCTCTTCTATGGGATTCCAGTCACAACGATTATAAGAATAGAAACAAAAAACACGACGCCACTCAAGAGTTGGCTCAAAGTTTCAATTGTGACTCGACTGAGGTAATGAGAAAATGGAAGATTATTTTGGCTCAATACCGAAGAGAAAAGAAGAAAATATCGGATTCAAAATCTTCAGGTTCTGGGTTTTCAGATGTATATAAGCCAAAATGGTTTACTTATGCATATTTGAATTTCTTTCATGCAAGGGATGAACCGAACACCAGCATGAACTCACAAGATGAAATAAATGAACAGGTACATTCAATTTTTTTATTATTTTATAACTCTATTATACTTAGGTATGCTTTTTACTCTAGTGTTTCTTGCCATGGCACCATTCCGATGTCAGTTTGAAAATAATTTGCTAGTTCTTCCCTTATATCTTTCGCATCGCCAGTTGGTCTTCTTCCGACATTTCTTAATGGTAGTAAGTTTGCCATGGGTGCATCGTGCCGCCAACTTCCATCGATAGCGCTATGGGTAATTCGGTTTTCAGTGTCGAAAATGCCAGGAGAAGTGTAAAGCTGTGAAGACGACTTTTGTGTCATCAAAAAATTATGCAAATAACAACATGTCAGTGTTATTAATTGTGCCTTTTCTGGAGCTAAAAGCATGGGTTTCCTGAGTACGCGAAATACAGCGGACAAAATCCCAAATACATTTTCCACAATACGTCTCGCTCTACTCAACCGATAATTGAATATTCTTTTTTTCGATCTTTTGTCATGTCGACCGGGATATGGTTTCATTAAATTCATATCTAATGCAAAAGCATCGTCTGCAACAATGACACATGGAATTGGTGTCTTCCTCCCGGGTAGCGCAGTAGGTTGAGGTAAATTTAATTGTCCTTGCTGAAGATTAACATAGAAACCCGTATTTTTGAAAACACCACCATCCGATATTCTTCCTTTACAACCGACATCTACGTACGTGAATTTATAATTTCCATCAACCAATGCTAAAGGTACAATGCTGAAATCGCCTTTGTAATTAAAAAAGTCACTTCCAGTATTATTTGGAGCTTGTATAACAATATGTTTGCCATCCAGCCCCAATGAAGTGAGGGAAATTCCAATGTTTTTCAAATTGACGTTCTATCAGCATCCATTCTTCTGCAGGGACACATTTTCTGTAGTTGGTGTCTTGCTTTGCAATATGAGGACTAAGTGCATTGACCAGCAACTCAAAACCTTCACACGATATACGAGTAAAATTTTTAAATCCACTTAAGGGATCTACTTTTATTTCTTCTACAAATCTATTCGTTTCTTGATTCCATCGCTGCAGAAAAGGCCTCACCCAACATCGTGGTTTTCTTCTTCGTTCCTGTTTAAGCAGACTACCTATTAAAACACAAGCTGCAGCACAAAACACTACGTATTCCCGCCCATCCATATTAAGAACTGAAGTTAGTGAGAACTTTGCTTGGTAAACATGTTCGTGCACAAGTGTGCTACACTGTACGCGTACAAAAGTTATGCACTGCTTTGCCGGTGGACACAGAAGATAAATTCGATACTAGTGAGCACATTCAATGCTGGAGTTTCACACAAAATGTTTGTAAACAAATGTGCTGAACACTATTTTGGTGGAATCGTACCATAAGACGTTCTGCAAATAGGTACTCATAATCGCGATCGCTGATACTCCTCGATTTTAAAGCCGTTTTACTTCCCACGTCATTGGCGAGGAAGTATTGTAATCGCGAATAATTTCTAAAATGAGATGTTATGTTTCTTTAAGTCATATGACATCTACATCACGAAAAACTGTATCACTCATCATCAACTGGGAAATTACCGCTCGAATTTTTATGAAATTTCCACACGTGGTTACTAGTATGCCAGAGCTTTGTAGCTTTAGTCCAGTGGCAACGGTGCTATAGGCAAAAAAGAAAAAGTAACAATTGCTGAAACTCCGTTTTTGACGTTTCAGGGATTCATAATCATTGACATAAACAAATTGTACTACTTAAAAAGGGGGGGTTGAAATCACTGAAACACGTTCTATTACTAAGAAGCTTCTGATCCCAGTGATTACAGGAAATTTAAGTATTGAAAATCCGACGAATAATGTGCTCACGATTTCAAAAAATCGGTACCTGCCCTATAGGTTTGACACCAACAGTCAACAGATCTGCAACTACCGACAGTAGGGAAGAATAAATTCGGATATCACTCCAGTCAAGTATAGGGGAATTCAGCGTGGAACTTTAAAATTATCGATATGTCAAGGAAATATGTTTTTGAGAACGATCATTTGGTAGATTTTATACCTGCATTTTTATTTGAATTTCATAACACGTGAAGTGTACCCATTTCGCCATTACCTTTTGTGTTTTGCAGTTTGTGATGTTTTTCTGAATATAAGCAGGCCATAATTACCTAGGGTGCTATCAGAGCTTTTTACAAAATTTTATCTTTCCGCAAGAATTATGGTGGGTTGAAATGCTCACTATTTGTGCTCAACTTCTTGATATTTTAAAAAGATCCTACTGGATAAAATCGAAAAAGTGGATCGTTAGCACCCTGTGGACTTTGTTTTTAGCACGCTGCAAGAGTTTCACTTAGAAATAATAAAAAGCAAGCTGTGAAGTGCAAATCGGTTTTTGGGCTAAATTCATCTACTGTTTCGTCCTGCCAGTCTAAGCGACACGACGGTACGTTCCGACTAAGAAAAAATGTATTCAAATAATTTTATACCTTTCCTAAAATAGATTTAAGAACTCAAATTCTAATTCGTTTATTCATGTCAATAAACACAATTACGTTTACAAGGGTCGTGTGGTAGATGTAACAATTGAATGAGGGTCATAAAAATATCTTATGCCATCAAAATAAGAGAAAACAGATAGGTAGTTTTTGCAAAGCAATAAACAGGTAGGCTTTACCTGGATGAAGTACATGTCTTGTCTAGGTAGATGGAGGTGATGCTGCCAGAAATGGATGTGTGCGATCAATAAACAAACCACAAGATTGAACTGCCGTGTCCAATGATTTTTGTATTGCCTTTTTTATTGCATTACTAGAAAACTCTGTTGGGTATATGATGGAGTTTACTAGAACTTTTCAGCTTGTTGTCTGCCTTCTTCTACAAACTTCACCAAATCGAGACGCTGTCAACCTTATCCTCCGATGAAGACGCCACAAAGCACAGTCCTGTGATTTGGTGACTTTTTCGATATGCAAAATCTCGTCGTCACTTTTTATATGTTTCCCTAAAAATTCTTGCTTAGCAACCTCCAAATCAATGTCGTTCATGTCAGGTTTTTGACAGAATTCGCCATAAAACTATTATACAGGTATATTTTATTTGGAATTGCTATCCGAATTGTTAGTTATTTTTATATATTTATATTTTATAACTTTTTTTGGTCTGAGTTTCTTTCCAAGATTCTTGCGTTTGAGTCTTTGTTCCATCTTAGTGATAAGCGAGGTTGGACTAAGCTTAGAACGCAAATGTATTTGGACCACATAGACTGGCCGCTCGGTATTGTGGCTCACTACAGCTGCAGCACATCTTCCATGGTATGACCTCTTCTAGCAGTAATTTATTCGCTTACCCCAATGTATTTTGCGATTGTAGAGTTGAACTGCTCCACACTATTGTTGTCCTCATTAGGAATTAAACTCAATGAATTCGTAATTAAAATTGTCGCATATGACCTTTTATTGTCCATTATCAACCTTGATAAAAAATTCACTCAAGAACAATTACACCAACAAGAGTACAACACAAAATTCAACAACACAATATCGACGAACAGTAACAAGGGTAGAACAATACTAAATGATCACTAGCTGAGTACCAAAATAGGAAATGATTTACAGGCTAGATCGCTAATCGAAATCCGACTCTGTTCTTATCCAAATTGGAGATTATTTCATCAACTAAAATAGCGCAGAAACAGTGATACCTACGTTCTTTTCGAAACTCGAACTGTTCTTCATGCAATATATTGATAGTACAAGTAAACTGTAAACTTTGGTTGGTTGTAGTTAATTTTTTTCTGATACTCTCGAAAGAACTGGTAAAAGGCTGATAGGTCTTAAGTCACTTACTTGTTCTGGATTGTTGATTTTAGGAAGTGGCATAACTAACCACACTTTCCAAAGTAGGAGGAAATATCCCTTCTCTATGCAGCAATTTAGAACGGGAACCAAGGGACTAGAAATGGCTGGAAGACATAAATTTTATCTTTTGAACAGATAAGCCATCAACGTCTGGAGCATTAGATTGTATTTCATTGATAGCATCAAGAACATCATGAGTATTGATAGTTCTCAGACTAAAACTTGTTTGATTAGCGCTTAATCTGATCTTCATATGCTAAATCATTTGAGTTAAAAGCAGATGGAAAATAATCATTTATAAGATACACATTAGTTATTCTACCAGGTATCTGCGTTGTATTAGAAGTCTGTATCCTCATTGATTTTTAAGCCCTTTGAAAAAGGAACACAACTGTATAAAAATGATTTATTCAGTTAATGCTTTAATAACAAGGTCTTAGAGTATTTACTTAAATATAACAAAAGAAATAACAATGTACTCGTATAAACATTATATCTAGAATACGGAATATGGGGAAGACTGATCTACTAAAGAAGCACATTTCACTTCACCTGAGTTAACTTAAGCATACAGCTGGTACTGGTAGTCATGTGAATGTCGTACTTTTAATCTGTGATAGTCACCAGTCATTGCTAGCTGGTTCAAAGCTCCGCTCTATAAGATTAGTAGACAGTTGACAAATGGTAGCTTAAATCTTCTCCTCGGGTTTCAGTTGAACTAACTTCTCGCTGGCTTCCCATACATCGTCAGAGAACTTCTTGTTCCACGCGCCAGGCGGCATAGGGAATACTCTGCAGTCCCAGAAGTGTCTGCCAGTGACGTCCTTCAGTTTCTTCGACAGGGCCAGGTGTATCGTAGTTTGGGCTCCTTCTTCGATACTCTGGAGGAAAAAATACATATCGTCAAAAGCATTGCACGTAAAGAAACCTAGTATGGAAAAAATAGTTTTGTGGCAGTTAACCTAGCTGACTTGAACATATTCGCTATTAAACATTCCGATATGGGATACAAGAAATTGTAGTTTAAAAACAAAAAAAACAGGTACAACCTAAAAGTAGAAAATAATTTTCAAGTATCCAATTAATTTGGAATAAGACAAACAAAAACTAAGATATTAACAAAAAAATCAATTATAGTAAAAAAGCGTGTGGTGCTCGATATTAAATGCTAGAATTATCTTTCTTAGTTTCTATTTACAAGATTTGGAGTTATTACGAAAATACAGGGTGTCCGCAAAGTTGGGATTTTCCTTTACACGACGTGTATATCTTGAAAACATAAGCAATTTTTCTTAGTACCATATACACCAATGTCTTAAGGGAACCGAGATAAAGGGCTCTGCAACATCAAAAATATCTGAATACCTTCCTGTAGCCGTGACTCGCGACATCCCCGAGTGCTACTAGGACACTAGCTCAAGCCGACGACAGAATGGGTCGGGGTCAGTGTGTCAGGTCAGTATGCAACCTTCAACCGACGGTTACGGTCACGCGTGTAGATGCAAACGAACCCGTATAATCGATTACGTTTCAAAAAACAACAAGCACTAGAGACTTGGCTAGAGAAGTGTAAGTATCAAAAACTAAAGTGTGGCAAACGCTGCGTGAAGAGGGGCTGTATCCGTTTCATGTCCAACGTGTACAAGCCCTTCAACCTGACGATTTTCCAGCAAGAGTGCGGTTTTGTGAGTGATTGTTGCATCAACATGACAATAATCTGGACTTTTTGAAGTGCATATTGGTGACAGACGAATCTACGTTCATGCGTAATGGGGTGAATAACTTTCGCAACACTCATGTTTGGTCAGTAGAAAATCCGCACGCTGTCCGTCAACAAACATTTTCGGTGAATGTTTGGGCTGGCATGGTGAACGGTATGCTCATGGGACCATTTATTCTCCCAAATCGATTGGACGGGATGCAATACCTAGACTTTTTACGCAACAGTTTGCCTTCCTTGTTAGAAGATGTGCCATTAAGAGTAAGACAATCAATGTGGTTTCTGCACGATGGTCATATTTGTTACCTCTGTTCGTGGTCTGCACCACCGCCGGCGTCTGCTCGGTAGCGCATCAGCTGATTTCATTTTCTGTTGGAGCGGTATGATTTCGGGCAGAGACGTACTTAGCCCTTCTCGTCAACTGGAGAGTGAGTACTTTTTCCTTTATTTTTTTTTACTTGGTCGCCCTCGTTTCACTACACATTACCTTTGTTATTTCAAGGGTAGTTGTTTCTGAAAAGGAAAACTTTGCGGACACCCTGTATAGTTAATTTGCTATATTTGAATTTCTTGTTCATATCTTAATTCTTTAATTGATTGTATGCATGTTTTCAACTTTTTAGTTCGATTTAATATTAATGCGTGTTTTTAGTTTTCTTAGACCATAATATATTTTCTGAATTTTTAGTCTCACAAACGACTACAAAATAATCAAGAACTATTTTTGGTAACTTGCTATATTTCATATTTGAAGACAAACTAGATTTACTTACTTCCTATCTACATAACCTTTCCATTTAGTATCCAAATTTATTTTCAAAATTCTCAGTTTTTCCCAATTTTGAAATACAAATTTCTTTTCAAAGAAAATTCCATAATTCTTTCAAAATAACCATTATTTTTTCGAAATTTCGAAATCTATAAATTATTTTCCAAATTTCCAAATTTTACAAATTTTCAAATCCAATTCCTTTTCCAACTTCTTCCAACTCACCTTTCCATATACGAACAGCACCACAGCATTGAAAACGTTCAGGATAGTCTGAAGTCCTGCATACTGAAGCGACTTCGTGAAGATTTCAGTGTTGACTAGACCTGGATGCAAGGAGTTGCTGGTAACTCCAAATTCCTTCAGCCTTTCAGCAAATCCGTTCGCTGTTATGATATTTGCCAGTTTTGAATTGGCGTAGATAAGAGAGTTGCGCAGGAAGGTCATTGGGTGACCTTGAGGCGGGTTCAAGGACTCTAATGACAGGTTGCTGCAGAAAGCGTATGCTGAGTTGACGAATATTATCCTGCTTGGGGCGGATTTCTTCAGTAATCCTACAAATGGAAAATAGTCGAAATGATACTTTTACTCGTATAGAAGCATTGTTAATAATTATTTATGTGACTAATGTGTTAGGGGGGTGGTGTCACATAGGGTACCAAGGATGAAGCGCTTCGGATTTTAACTCGTCAAGCGGCATTATATACAGGGTGTCCCGAAAAAAGTGTGCAACATTCTACCAGCGGTTTCTAGAGCTTAAAATAGGAAAAAAAGTTTATATAAACATAGGTCGGCAAACGTCCCCTAAGGGCGCTACGGTCTTTTAAAGGGGCGCCCCTGAAGATGGTTTTTTCTTAATATTTCCGAAACGTGTTGAGATAAATACATAAAATTTGTTATTCTCGACTAGTTTTTTATGCTGGATTTAAAAATATTAACAATTTTAGACAGTTTTGTTTGGAAGCGTAGGTAACAGGGACGAACTCAGGTTATTTTAGCCCCAAAATTTTTGTGTGATTCTATTTTTGAAATTCAATTTTAGAATTTGAAAATTTATGGTTTCCTACATAAAAGAGATACTCTTATTGGATATCGATAAATTGTGCCATTTTTGAATAAAATCAAACTAAAGAATTTGTCACATGATAGGAAATGTACTGCGAATTTAAATGAATTGTTGAATAATTAGCCATGGCAACGAAAAAACTAATTTAATAATTGGTAAATATTACATAAATACATATTTCTAGGCAAAAACAAAAGAAATAAATTTTTTCTACGAACGAAATTGAAATTTGTTTAAAAAGAAGACATACAGTTGGATATACTTAAAACCAGCTTTACAATAAGTGTTCAAATAAATTCTCATTTTTTTGGATACAGAGTCGCGCCCCACGAAATAATGATTGCGTAGCCCGAAAAGTGGAAAACCTTTTTCTTCTTATTTCATTTGCAGCCTGATGGATTCTTGAAGTAAATCTTCTTGAGTATTTACTTCAGTCGAGTAAACAAGGTCTTTTAATGACCCCCAAAAATAGAAATCCAATGGATTTAGGTCAGGTAAACGTGGCGGCCATGCTATAGGACCTCCTCGGCCTAACCACCTGTCTGGAAAATTGACGTTCAACCAATTTCGAACATTGCGTCCAAAACGTGCAGGGGCACCATCATGTTGAAAAAACATATTTTCTTGAAACTGCTGGCGCACATCCAATGGTATTATACCCATGAGCTCATTCTGAAGAAAGTTCAGATATACCTCTGAATTAAAACGATTGGGAAGTACAATAGGCCCAATTACTTGATCCCAAATTACTCCTGCCCATAAGTTCAAAGAAAATCTATGTTGGAAATTTGTACGGCGAACAACTTTTGGATTTTCATCTGACCAGTGATGCATGTTATGGAAATTAAAAGCACCATTCCTAATAAATATTGACTCATCCGACCATAATATTCTAGGAATAGTGTTTTCATTTGCTAATATCCACTGGCAAAACTCGATTCGTGGTAAAAAATCTGCCTCCGTTACAGGCTGCACCCGTTTAAAATGATAAGGATGTAATCCTTGCGTTCTTGTCATTCTTCGTATCTAAAATTATTATTTTTAGGATAACTATCAAATAGGTATTCATAAATTTTTCTTACTATTGATCGAGGTATATCCATAATTTCTGAAACATTTCGTATGTTTATATGCGGATTATTTTCAAACACATTTTAAGCTATATCCATACGATGATTTCCCAGTGGCCTTCCTGAGCCCTGCATGCGCTGAAAACTTCCATGGTTTGACAAATTCCGGCGAATATCAGGAAACATTCGACGTCCAGGTACTATGCGATTGGGAAATCTTCTTTGATATTCTCTTACGGCTGCCAATGAACTGCCATTGCAAGACCCGTACACAAAATGCATGTCAGTCAGTTCTCTGTCTGTAAATCTTGACTTTTTAAATCAATTTAATAAAAATTTTAATTTTACTGCTAACAATGCCAGCTTAACGTCAAAATAAGTCATAACAAATCAAAACAACTTTTGTTTGCAGTCATGGCTAACTATGTACAATCAACAATTCATTTAAATTCGCAGTACATTTCCTATCATGTGACAACTTTTTTAGTTTGATTTTATTCAAAAATGGCACAATTTATCGATATTCAATAAGAGTACCTTTTTATGTAGAAAACCCTAAATTTTCAAATTCTAAAATTGAATTTAAAAATAGAATCACAATAAAATTTGGGGCTAAAATAACCTGAGTCCGTCCCTGTTACATACGCTTCCAAACAAAACTGTTTAAAATTGTTAATATGCTTAAATCCAGCATAAAGAACTAGGCTAGAATGCCAAATTTTATGTCTTTATCTCAACACGTTTCGGAAATATGAAGGAAAGACCATCTTCAGGGGAGCCCCTTTAAAAGACCGTAGCGCCCTTAGGAAACGTTTGTCGATATGAACTCTCGAAACCGCTGGTAGAATATTGCACACTTTTTTCGGGTACACCCTGTATATAATAACTTTTTTACGTTTCATAAGTATTCCTGTATGAACCATATTTTCACACCTGTTGGTTTTAATATACTTCAATAACTCTTTTTTGAAATATAGCAAATTTGCATAGGTATCTCATTTCCAGGATGAATAAGAAAAAGCAGATACGCAACTAATTTTTAGTTTTGTATACATCTCAAGTCATTGTAAAGGGTTGTCCAATAGGGACGCAGGAAAGTAAACGTCAATTTGACATAGACGCCATCTTTGTTTTCTGTCACCGACATGTCATTTTTTTAGTTGAATGCTTACCATTGATCGGTGTGGAGTCGTATTCGATTGAAGACCGCATTAAAGTTATTCAAGAGCACTACAAAAATGGTGCAAAAATAAAAAACACGTTTCGCGCGCTTCGTGAACATTTCGGTCGCAACAACCGCCCAAACGAAACAACCATCGGTCGTCTGGTGCGTAAATTCGAGGCAACAGGTTCTGTGGCAAATCTGCCAGGCTCTGACCGGCCAAGGAGCGTTCGCACACCGGAAAATATTGCTGTTGTGAAGGAGAGTGTGAGAGACGATCCGAAACAATCAACAACGCGTCGATCCCAAGAATTGGGCATTTCGAGAACCAGTTTTCTCCGCATTCTCCACAAGGATTTGAATGTACACGCCTACAAGATCCAATTGACGCAAGAGCTGCGTCGGGCCGACCATTTTTCGCGCCGAACGTTCTCAGATTGGCTCCTTGAACACCGCCAAATTGATGCCAATTTTTCATCAAAAATCATGTTCAGCGACGAAACGCATTTCACTTTGAATGGGACGGTAAACAAGCAAAACTGCCGCATCTGGGCGAACGAAAATCCCCGTGAGTATCAAGAGCAGCCGATGCATCCTCAAAAAGTGACTGTGTGGTGTGCATTGTGGTCAAAAGGCATCACCGGACCTTACTTTTTCGAAAATGCGGCCCTGGACGCCGTTACCGTCAATTCTGAGCGATATCACGTGATGATAGAGGACTATTTTTTGCCGCAACTTGAAGGAATGGATATGGACGATGTTTATTTCCAACAAGACGGTGCAACATGCCACACAACCAACGTCAATATCCATCGATTGCAGTCCTTCTTCGGTGATCGCGTGATTTCGCGCAGAGGAAATGTGCCATCGCCACCAATATCGTGCGATTTGACTCCCTTGGACTTCTTTTTATGGGGATATTTGAAAAGCAAAGTCTACGTCAACAAACCAGCAACCCTCCAAGAATTCAAAAACAACATTATTGCCGAGATAAATGCCATAGAACCGACCATGTTGCAAAATGTCATTGAAAATGTCGACCATCGCGTGGACGTCTGTAAATCCAGTCGTGGTGAACATTTGAGCGATATTATTTTCCATACATAAATAGTATAAATGAACCTTCAAAATAAAGTACCAAACTTGATTTGATTATCAACCTTTCTTGTTTTAATATGCGTTTACTTTCCTGCGTCCTTTTTGGACAACCCCATATTTCAGACAAGAAACCAATGGAATTATCAACACGTACTATTAGCATTCAGTTATTTGTGGTTTTCTTTTTTTTATGTCCCGCTGCTGTTAAATTATTGATTTATTTTCGTTGTTGCCGTATTTTCTTTGATCGGGTGTAAGCTGTTGGGAATTATAATAAATAAAACAAAAATTAATTTAACGAATAGATCTCGTTCCACTGATTATTTTTAGAAAAAAAAAACGAGCGCTCAAATTGCTTCACTATCACGCAAGTTCAAAATTAATTAATATTCTGACCTTAATACAATGCATCATTACTGACTGCACCGGAACTCTGTAACATGTGACTTCATTAAACTGACCTGAAAGCAGATGCGTGAGCAGGAATGGCCCGAAGTGGTTAACCTGCATAGTTTCATGAAGTCCATCGTCCGAGTGTTTATTGGTCACCTTCCAAGTACCGGCATTATTGATTAAAATATCCAGACGTTCCTCAGTTTCGTTAATTTCCTTGGCAAATCGTCTCACCGACTGCAAACTGCTCAAGTCTAAGATTTTCGTCTCAATATCTTCGTTCTGGGTGATGTCGATGATCTGCTGTTTCACCTTGGTGCCATCTTTTCTGTCTGCTATGATGACTCTAGCGCCGCGTGAGGCTAGTACTAGTGCTGTCTCATATCCGATACCTGTCAGAATTTGTAAATTAACTTGTGTCAGGCCTTGATATCTTCATAATTTGATTTAAGGAACACATAAAAGTAGGCGACGTAAATGACTGATAATTTCAAGGCCTACCTAGAATATATTGCGTTATTTGGAACAACTCAGGTATGGCAATATCAATGTATGACGTATTATACATTTTTGGAATCAGTATTGAACACTCTATTTATCTGTGCAAGAGTTGATGCTGGACTACAAGGGATGAAATATCATATTGAAATTCTAATTATGCCATCATGTAAAAGGAGAAAAAGTGGCAATGGTAGTGTGCAATTTATTTTGAAATCCCAGTAGAAATAAAGTCAGTAAAATGTTAAAATGATTTTCGTAAAATATGGTACTTTCCGTCTCTCTCCGGAAGTTAAATAGATTTCTAAAATTCTAAGCGACATTTTGTTAGTTACCTAAATACGCAACTTTGCCCCTATCTAAGCTTCGTATCTCTATCCTGGCCAATGAAGCTGACCATGTCCTTCAAGGTCAGTTTACGATAAGACCAGTTGGTCGAGGATAAAAATAAGTGAAGCATTGAAATTTATTGTTGCATTAAAATATTGGATAAACTGTTCATTTCCTAAGTAACTATTTCGTTGATTATTGCATTTCTTTCTGCGAAACCAATCTCGTTTACACTCATGCAAAATGAATTTATATATATATATATATATATACAGGGTATTTCAGTTTATTGTTGCATAACTTTAAGATTCGATAGAACTTTTAAAATTAATACATAAAGTCATATAAACATGGGTCGAAAAATGCGTGGCTTCCGAAATACAGGGTGTTTAAATTTACTTTTTAAAGTAGTTTTTTTTTTAAATATTTCGAACAATATTTGATGTATAATAGCGAAAATTGGTATACAAGGGTTTTTTGGTACGACAAAACGAACCATGGGCATAGTTTTACTGTAGCCACTAGAGGGCGCTCTCTACTGTACCTGTAGTGTATTAAAATGACCGAAAACTTTTTCTTAGTGCAATTTTTTGCTTTTTGAATAAAAAAACTGATTCTTCGCACTTTTCAACATAAAAAAGATCTACTGTGAATTTTCGTTATAGTTAGCCGTTTTTGAGATATTTCGATTTTTAAGGTTCGATGCATTTTTAACTATTTATGATAAAATAACGTCAAAAAGTCAGTATCTCGATAATTTTTAGAAGTAGGCTGTGCCTCCAAATATTTTTGAAATTGAAAGCAGAATAAAGTTAAACGTCAATTAGTTGACAGTTAGTTTTGTTGTCTGTTGAAACCTGAAACGTTTTTTTGCAATTGTAGTTTTAAAGACATTCTTAAAAGATATAAGATCCTAATGGTACCTGAGATGGGATGCATTAGTTAGCGTTATTCGTATTCCTGCTCAAGATCAAATTTACTTTCATTAAAGTGATAAACGTAGTTGTAATATACACGCCAACTTTTCTGAATTTAAAATAGAAAGTAAATGGGCAATTATACTGGGGCCAAAAATCTTAAACATCCTTTTAAAAGATATCCAAAGAATAGCAAATCAAAATCACTCTAAGTAATGTTTGAAGGGTTTTTTAATACATAAATGTTTGTATAAAGTCTGTGAGTTTATCAGTATCAGTAAATGTTCTTCTCCTTTTAGAAGCTTTATTTGTACAAGGAAAATAAATTAGTATTACCATTATCTATTAAAATATGGCAACTCTTCCACTGTAAAGCTCATCAGCTAGTTTTTTGGAATTTGCTTGGTGTCCAAAATAAAATTTCTTTTCGTATTACTCTTTATCAATTCTCCAGTATTAAAATTACTCTGAACTGCTAAAAATTATATAGGCCGTGATGTGGTTCGACAAGAAATCGATACTTCTTATTGAGTGTTCGGTAAGAATATCAAACGGATTTTAAAGACTAAAAAAAAAAACGCGAGAAGTGATCTCTGATTTTGGCATACTCAATATTCTATTGACTCTGTAGTTTATTTAATGTCATTAAAGGGTGAAAAGGCCTTATATCTACGTTTGCAAGACCTACAAAAAGTTTAGAATTATGGAAATTATTATACAGGTTTGATAGCAGAATTACAAATTTTTTTGTTAATTGCAGCAAAGAAACTCATACCTGAAGTGCCTCCAGTAACAATAGCGGTCTTCCCCTTGAGGCACACCAAACTCCTAGCTCTCCCCGCAGTGAATTTCTGCAGGATTTTTAAAGTTATCAAAGCTATCACTGGCAACGATAGAGCCAAAATCGCAAAAGCTACGTACTTGACGTAGACCCAATAAACCACAACCATTTTAGAATATTTTTTTAATCTTTTTTTCTCAATGTTGCGGCGCGTATGCTACGTATCACCTCGGAATCAAAATGGAAACTGATGTGCGATGCTCCCAGGTGAAAGCACTCGTGAACGTCTGTGGGTTGCACCGCGAAAGAAAGTTTCATTTCACAGGTGAAATGGTACTTGATGAAGAAAACGACAAAAATGCATAATTACAACACACATAGACGTGACGCTGTTTTTTTTTTTTGGGCGATTAAAAGCGCGTTTTCAAATATGCTGTGTTGTATATTCTGTATCTGGGGATTTTAAGTGGAGTTCTTGATTATAAGATGCCTCAAACTATTGGGGAAACTGGTGATGGACAGGTGGAATCTCTATTATATCAGCCATGAAAGACTAATCTTTCCCCAGAAAGAATTCTCGTTTTGATAAGAAGCAAATAAAATGCCAGATACTTTCTCAGCTGTAAGTGTTCTATCGCAATGCCGAAAGTCTACTTCATAGATAGAATATCAGGAATTCTCTAGCGAATGGAGATCCAAACATTTCATTTCACATGTTTTTGGGAACTTTGTGTGCTCTTTTGATATTGCTCTCACTTCGATAGGCAGAATGCACGTGCTCTACATTGATTTCAGCAGTCCTTCTTGCCAGCCAATCAGCTGTGATACTACTAGTTCTGCTAACAAACTTATTTGCTGATGCTGGGGAAAGAATATTTTTCCAAGTTTTCAGGTGCGTAGAATTATCAATGTTTAGAGCGTACAAATCTACCAGCATAAAAAAATTGATATCAATCCTCACCCTCAAGTTTTATTTCTAGATTTTTTTTCAAAAGATGACTAGGATCCTCTAAAATGTCATAAGCAACCTTTGAATTATTTTTATTCTTTTCACTTTGGGCCCTTTTCTGTGCCGTTGGTAGATCGATTTCCAAAAACTAAAAAGCTTCTGACCGAAGGACATGGTTTTTCGTGATGTACATGCCATATACGAGAGCATCCAAAAAACATAAAATTTCATTTACAAAATTTTTCGCAATTACAATACTTCCTCGTCACACTGTGAAAATTTCATTCAAAAATATCAAAAAATGAAGCGTCAATTTCGAAGCGCGCAAACCTCTATAAATCGTATCTTGGACGAATTTTGTCTACTGTTTCGTGCTTCCAACCCAAGCGTTGCGGCGCAATGTACGGACTAAGAAAGGACGTATTCAGATAATTTGGTGACCCTATTTCATATAATATCGCATAGATAAGTCGTTCTGCAAATAGGTACTCATAATCGCGATCGAGAAAAATTTCTAAAATGAGATGTTATGTTTTTTTAAGTCATATGACATCTACATCACGAAAAAATATATCACTCATCATCATCATGGAAATTACCGCTCGGATTTTTATAAAATCTCCAAACCTTTTAGTCCAGTGGCAACGGTGCTAGACTCAAAAAAGAAAGAGCAACAATTGCTGAAACTCCGTTTTTGACGTTACAGGGATTCCTTATCACTGACAGAAAAAAATTGTACTGCTTAAAAAGTGGGGGTTGGGGGAAGGTGATTCTAAATGTTGCATCTTTGATATCAGTGAAACACGATCTATTATTAAGAAGCTTTTGATCTCAGTGAATACAGGAAATTTAAGTAACGAAAATCCGACGAATAATGTGCTCACCATTTGAAAAAATCGGTACCTGCTCTATAGGTTTGACACCAAGAGCAAACAGATCTATCTGCAACTGCGGACAGTAGGGAAGAATGAATTCGGATATCAGTCCATTCAAGTAAAGGGGAATTTAGCGTGGAGCTTTAAAATTATAGATATGTCAAGGAAATATGTTTTTGAGAACGATAATTTGGTAGATTTTATACCTGCATTTCCATTTGAATTTCATGACCCGTGAAATGTACCCATTTCGCCGTTACCTTCAATTTGGTTCTGCAGTTTGTGATGTTTTTCTGGATACAAGCAGGACATAATTGCCTAGGGTGCTATCAGAGCTTCTTACAAAACTTTGTCTTTGCGCAAGAATTGTGGTGGGTTGAAATGCTTACTATTTGTGCTCAACTTCTTGATATTTTAAACAGATCCTAGTGGATAAAATCGACAAAGTGGATCGTAAGCACCCTGTGGACTTTGTTTTTAGCACGCTCCAAGAGTTTCATTTGGAAATAATAAAAAATGAAACGTAAGCTGTGAAGTGCAAATCGCTTTTTGGGCGAAATTCGTCTATTGTTTCATCCTGCCAGTCCAAGCAACGCGACGGTGCGTTCCGACTAAGAAAAAATGTATATGTTTTTGACTGAGTTCGCCATACAACTATTCATTTTCTTTGGAATTGCTATCTGAATTGTTGGTTATTTTTATATCAGCTTTTTTTGGTCTGAGTTTCTTTTCAAGATTCTTGTGTTTGAGTCTTTGTTCCATCTTAGCGATAAGCGAGGTTGGACTAAGCATAGAACGCAAATGTATTTAGACCACATAGACAGGCCGCTGGGTATTGTGGGTCACTATAGCTGCAGCATATCTTCCATGGTATGACCTCTTCTTGCAATAATTTATTCGTTTACCCCAATGTATTTTGGGATTATAGAGTTGAACTGCCCCACACTATTGTTGACCTCATCATGAGTTAAGCTCACTGCATTCGTAATTAAAATGGTCGCATATGACCTTTTATTGTCCATTATCAGCCATGATAAAAAAAGCACTCAAGAAGTACAAGCACAACAATTCAACAACCCAATATCGACGAAGAGTAACAAGCGGAGAAAAATACTAAATGATCGCTTGCTGAGTACCAAAATAAGAAACGATGTACATTCTAGATCGCTAATCGAAATCCGACTGTGTTATTATAAAAATTTACCTTGGTATACACCCGCAGTCATCCTTTCCTCTTTTAAAGTAGCGCCGACGACCGTCTAGGGCCAGCCCGCCCTCGTTTCCTTTTCACCGGCCCGTTACCTCAGAAGATGGTGCTCGTGATTGTAGGAGCCCCGTTAGAAACGTTAGAAGGAAAGTCTGTAGCAATATTTTCCCTTTCAGGCACTCTGAATGTTCACAGATAAAGTGCTGTCATCCAAAATATTGGAGAAGGAAATCTATCACCTATCTGCGAAGCATTTCTGGAAGCCATAAGATGGAAGTTTGAATATGAGTGCTACATGCCATAGATAACTCTAGTGTCAATAAATGATGGACGGATTTCTGGTATCGGAGACTTAAGATTTTTATAAGCTGTAAGCTTGACCTGTTTGTTTGTCAGTATATGTGGGATTAATTTTGGAAGCTAATCCTGATCCAGATAACTTTAACACATTCAGCTGAAATTTTGTACACGTTTGGTTTGAGTGACCATTTAAAATGAATTAGCTGCCGCCATTTCGAACCCAATATGACGAATGCTACAAAATGGCGAATTATTTCAGTGGAAGCCCCTATAGTATGGGTTACAAATGGAAGGACTTGGTGAGAGAAATGTAATAAGCAACGTAACATCATGCTGAATCTAATGTAGCAACCGCCGCAAACTGGCAAAATTTGTTTTTTTTATAGACACCTCTATGATATGGTATCAAATGGAAGGGGTTGAGAGAAACATAATAAGCAAAGTGATGTCCTTAATCCAGTATGGTGGACGCTGTTAAATGTAAATTTCATGTAATATAGTTAAAATAAGAACTTTTATGGATTCCTATTAATAAAATGTAGACAAATTATATATACGAGTAGATAACGATTTGACATCATAAATACTGAAAAGTATCAGGTAACCAAATAAGTTCGTGCAGTTGCTGTATTTCGCACATTGCCATGGATGTTGTTGATTGATAGCGATTGTTTGTTAGCTGTTATCACTTTAGTATGAATCCTTCTTTTCTCACACACATAAAAAGTTGCTGAAAATTATTACAGTCCTAGTTTTAATAATTGAAAATGGCGACGAATAAAACAGTAGTTCGAAGTTGTTTACTGTATGAGTACAAACTTGGTAGAAAAGCTGCAGCGGCGGCGCGAAAAATATGTACAGCATTCGGAGATGATGCCGTTAGTGATCCAGCAGCACAGAAGTGGTTCAAAAAATTGTCTTCGGGAGATCTCAGTTTGAGCGATGAACCGCGTTCAGGGAGACCAAAAATCATGAACAACGAGGATCTTCTACAGGTTGTGGACGCAAATTCCAGGACAACGTGCCAAGAACTTGCAGAAAGGTTCAGAGTGACTCCTGAAACTATTTGTTTGCATCTTCATCAGCTAGGAAAGACGTGGAAGTTAAGCAAACGGGTCCCACATGAGCTGACAAATGATAACAATTTAAGTCGTCTTACTATTTGTTCAAATGAAAAATGGGTCTTGTATTCGAATTCTAAGCGTTCGTATCATTGGTTGTTGCCTACTGATTCGGTACCACACACGCCCAAGGCTTCCTTGCAACCAAACAAGGTTTTGTTGTGTGTTTGGTAGACAGCAACTGGAACCATCACTGTTAACTTGTATTGTGAGCAGCTCCAACGAGTATAAGCAGCACTCATCCAGAAACAGCCTTCTTTGATCAATCGGAAGAAAGTGATATTCTTGCAGGATAACGCTAAGCTTGATACCGCCAAAGTGACCAGAGAAAAAATTCCTGAACTCTACTGGGAAACGTTATCGCAACCGCCATATTCTCTCGACATTTTTCCCAGTGATTATCACATTTTTTTTGTCTCTTGACAACTGTAGGAGGCACCGACAGTTCACAACTCGAGATGGTGTAATAAATGCAGTCTGCTAGTTTTTGACTCCAAATCCAGGGAGATCTACAATACCGGCATACAAAAATTGGTTCCACGTAGGCAAAAGGTCATTGAATGTGTTGATAATTACTTCGACGAATAAGAAGTGTCCTATTGTTTCTCAATAAAAATTTATATTTTTCTACTAAAAAACAGATAAAATTGAAAATACAGTTTTTCTAAAAAAAAGTCTTTTACTTAGCCTATAATAAAACGAACTAAACATTTAACCTCATTCTCGTTTTGACAGTAGGATGGACCAAGGGAGTAACACGCTTTTATTTGAAAACTTGAACCTTCATTATCGTTTAAATATTTCCAATCGAAAAGAATATTTTAAAATTTCTAGTTCGTTTTATTATCAGCTGAATAAAAGCTTGTTTTTAAAAATGTGTATCTTTATTTCCTTTTTTCGGAAGCATTTCTGAATCGTTTCCTTTAGTATGGAAAAATACCGAAGTCGTCAGGTATCCGGAGGGGGTACTTTTTCCGTCTCCGGCCTTTTTTCTCTGCCGCCACTGGACCGGGTTTCCAAAAATATAAAGCTTTTGCGTCCTTGGTATAGTAGTAACCTTGTGTAAAAGTTTCTTCGAAATCCTAGCAGTACTTCTCAACTTATAGGCTGTTATACGATTAGCGGACAAACCGACAGAAGGACCGACAGACAAACAGTCAGTCAGACAGACCGAACGAAATAAACGATATGATTTTTTATGATGTACATGTCATATAACATACAAAAAGGCAATATCTCATGAACATTTTCGCAATTACAATACTTCCCCGCCGTGGGAAGTAAAACATCCAGCAGTTTCGTGTACGGCATTTGAGAAAGTGACAATCTGAAAGGTATATTCAGCATTTTAGAAATCACCGTCTCCTGTGCAAATTACAATGCATTCGGCTTGAATGCAACGGGACGCTAATGATACTCCATACATGTCTACTTTCTTATTTCGATAATAACCCGCGGTACTGTAAAAGAGTCCTTCCGTCCGGCGTGTCGGTGATCGCTTGTATGAATAACAGATATTTGAAGATTTCTAGCCGCAATGAAATGAGTGTTCATAGAGGATATACCGGATGGTTTACTATACATTGACTTGCATCTACCTTTTTTGTATACTCGTTTAACAAATAAGCCTTTAATGCAACGACTTTTTTGTGTGACTCAGGAAAGTACTACAGAAAAAAGTTGTTTTTTTCTCACTGGTTTCAAATATGTGTAAATATACTAATGGAATACAGTTTGGATTAAATAAGAATTGACAATATTCAGTGAATCTTTCAGGTCCTGAATCTCAGTAAAAAATGATCGCATTGAGATCCTAAAACAAGCATTTTAAAGGTTGGAACGCTGCTTCTTAGCGTTTCTTTATTTAGGTCCGCAAACTTGAAATACGTTTTTCCGCTAAATTATTACATAGCCTCAATAGCCTGTCTATTCAGCTTCAAATTTCTTTTTTTTTCAAATCGTGATACGACTGAGATATTGTAACCTTTTAGCTCCGATCAGTGATATCTCAGGAACCAATCATCCTACAGAAAATCTGTGTTTCTAGAAGTTGAAATAAAGGAATGATGATCATTCATGTAAAGCGTTTTTTGCTTTCTTTATCCGTGTTAGAAAAATATACGTATTTTATATCTTTTATCGACAACCAATGACTAAATTTAAAATATAAATCTTTCTCTTGCTTTATGCTGTGTACTTCGTCGGGACAGTCCGACATGTTTTGAAGTTCAGGACTCAAAGCATTGTATGAAACTGGAGTGCTGGACGTGGAAGAACGCTGAAATAAAGCTGTAGAGTGAATAGTTGTAGTTATATTCGGAAATCTAATTGTATATTAGACCTACAGATCAACTATTCTCCTAAGTGCATAGTCTTTGACATAAGTATACTAAGGCGCATATCGTCAGTGGTCCCTACAATTGTAGGGCGCGTTTATGGCCTCCTTGATTGTCATAGTTTTCTACTTCTCCGTGTCAGCGCTCTATTTTAAGGTTATGTCACAAACATCTATTTGCATCAAATTGTGCTTTTGAGTTTTATCATGTTTTATCAGCCTGAAATTTCCTACAATTTAAAAGGAAAACATATCTTAACAATAGGAGAGCGCTGACGCTGACACGGGACGAGTGTAATCTAGAAATTTTTGAAGGAGAGAAAAGAGTATGACAATCAAGGATTCCTTAGGCCCGTATCGTCAGTTGTCTCTACAAATTGTAGGGCGCGTTTATGGCCTCGTACAAACACCGAACTGAGACAAAAGCTTCAAGAAATATGGGATTGTTTTACACCAAATTTTTGCCAAAACTTGGTTAACACTATGCCCCAAAGAATTTCAGCCGTAATAAAAAATAAACGTGATGTTACCCAATGGTAAATTTTCAATTGTTGCTTTGTTAACTTCGCACATTTATTCGCACATTGTTTATTAGTTCAGATGTTCTATTAGTTATAGGTCTAAGTGATTTCAAATATGTATGTATTTTTTACGACTAGAGTGTATCTAAAATGTTTTTGAGAAAATAAATTGTTTTAGAAGTGAATAGTTTCGTCATGTTTAGTTTATAAAGGCATATATTGGTACAAATCTTGAAGTGGGCCAACCGAACTGGGAAGGGGCTCGTAGTTATATATCAAATATGTAGTATTATATATTATTATAACTATGAAAAAAGTTCAATGCCATTAGATCTATGCCATAATACTTTTAACAATTAAGTATTAACAACTCATGATTTATTTTGTCAAACATCTTGGAGTAATCGATTGACATCACTGCTACGCCCATTTTTATCAAGTGCTCTAATAATATTATCAACTAAGCTTAGGAAGGAGTTAGTACTGAAGATTTCCTAAAGGCTGATTAGATGGGATGATGTGTTCCTCTGCATAGTGCATTAGTTGTATGTGAGCCATCTCTACCTTTAATAAAAAAAATAATCTGGATTTTTTTTAATTTATTTTAATTAACTATGTAAAACCTTCAATAACTAATTTATTCCACAACTCGCTTCCACAATACAGGTAAATAACCCCTTTCAAGGCAACTATTAAAAAGTTGGGTGATGTAGATAAGAGTAACATGTAGACTAAGCTTGATCATAGACAAGCTCCGCTCATCAGTACCTTTGGCATCCGACTTAAAACTAGAATTCGTAATATTTACTTGTCAAGACTAGTTTTTGAAATTTTGCCCATATATTTTGGCCATCCAATTTGGTAACTCAACACCCAAGGCAGGTGACCAACATATCGCACTACTACGCCTCTGGGGAATTGATTATTTGGTCCTTCTAGCCGGATTGTCAGTAACATATGTATGCAACCAGTCCAGCCTCAGTTCGCAACACGGCTCCTCTATACGTTTTATCTGCCTCACCAAAGTGCGCGCATACTCCACAAATTTAAACGTCTTGCTCAGTTTTGTTCGCTTTTGGGCGCGGGAGGTCGGTAACAACTTTTCGGCCTTCGCGAAATACATGTCTGCCCAACCGTCAGTCATTGTCGCTCTTCAGAAACTGTTGATACTGTTTATGGTCCGTCGCGCCGGATATTTTTTTGAGCTTTTGAATGGAGTGACGGTGACGCTTAGACGAAATTTGCCCTTTGCTGTGTAAGTTATCTGCTTTTTTTTCAAAATAGCCATTCTTCCATTCAGTTATTTTAAACTTCGACAACAGAAGTATTTTAAAGAGTTTAGTTTTTTCTATCAGTTGATACGATTCTTAAACGTTTTATAGCAATTTTATCAAAACCATGCTTGGTTCATTATGTCAAATTGTCTGTTGGCTTGTCTCTGAAAATATCTTTTTTAAGTTCAAGACTGGACAGATGACATTTAACCCTGTTTAGAATGTTTTAAGTTGGTGCTAAATTTATTCGTCAGACTAAAAACGTAAAAAAAACATCTCAAAGCCATTAATTTGTCAGTCATGTTCACCAATTTTTGGCATGTTGAAAATTACCAAAACTCAATTTTCAAGCATATCATTAGATGTCTTTAAAAGGACTCCAGTTGGAGTTCAAGTATTTGCAAAGCAAGGTTGTATTCAAAATTTACGTATTTAGAACTCGATGGATCTACATTGGGACATTATAAAGTTTTCTCCATCATAACAGGAGATTATTTATGGAAGGTTCTGTAAAAACAGCTCGCCTCAATTAAACCGTATCTTGTCAGATTACATAATGTTTTAGTCCTCTTGTCTGAAAATTCTAGACTCCCTTTACTTTTTGATCTCATTAAAAACGGGGTTATGAGTGTCCAGTGTTTGTGTTATGTTTTATACATAACTTCAATAACATTTATCTTCACACTGGAAGCCATTTGTATGAGAAGAATCAAAACCACACTGCATATTCCCATTATTGGATTCATAATAATCTCCAAGTGAAGTCACAGCTTTTCGATTTTAAGAACACTCAGAAAATCTTCGTAGAAAAGTATTTTATTAAAATTCTAAGGAACTTTTAACCTGGTTAAAACTAGATTCTACTTATTTAATTTCATTTTGTTTCTTTATTGGTGCTTAATATACAGGTGTGGTTACACAGGTCAAAGGATAGGTTGAAATACAAAAGTTTAAGAACAACAAAATTTGTTTGAAAGAGCACCATTAACAGAAAACTGTAAAAACCTTTAACAGAAAAACTGTGAAATGATATTATGAATTTAAAATAAATACAAAACTATAGAACAAGCACAGCCGAACAAATTAACAGAATACCTAAAAGTGGACAAGCACACTACAGCACCATTATAAGAGATCAGAAAAGTTATTACCTAAAAATTATTCGATGCAATAAAAGGCTTTCTTGATAAGGTGCGCTTCAACTCTATACTTAAATGAGCCTGTGTCAGACATTTTGAGTGTCTCAGGAAGAACATTATAAAAGTGGGTTTCATAGCAGTTAGAACCGCTTCTAACTCTTTGTAGACGATGTTCAGGAGTATCTACCTTATGCATGTTACGTGTATTGTAACTATGTTCATCACTGTGCATTTTGTATAGATCCAATCAGACACGTCGATTTTGTTTTCGAGGGGGACACACGTTTGGCAAAAAATCAGGTTAGCACGTGCAGCCCCTTAAGCGGGGGTGACACCACCCCCAAAATCTTAAATGGCAAGTGGGGTCGAGTTATACCTTATTTTAAAGGTCTTTCAATTCCCTTCATAATGATATAAAATTAATGTACTTTAGTTCAGTAGTTTTGAAGATTTATTGATTTAAAGCTTAAATAAAGCTAATACATCATCATTAGTGGAGATCAATACATTTGGCAACAAAGTAATTCAAAAATGAAGAATGAACTGACCCGTTAGGCAAGTAAATGTTGAAAATGGCCACCATGACTCTCCATGCAATAATAAAGCTTTTGCTCAAAACGTTGCCGCACATTTTGTAATATTTGAGGAGTAATTTGAAGGCACTCAATCACAATTCTTTGTCGCAGGTTTTATAATGATGTTGGCTGAGTAGCATAGATTTTGCTTTTTAAATGACTCCACCTAAAGAAATCCAAAGGTGATAAATCTGGCGATCTTGGGGGTCATTCAATGGCACCTCTTCTACCAATCTATCGATCTGGAAACGTCTGATCTAAATATTGTCCATCCTGTTGGAACATCAACCTATTCGCAATGTACCGCCGATCATGCTGATTTTCAATTATGGCTGTTAATGTAGGATCTATGGCGTCTTCCTGTAATTCCAAATACATTTCACCGATCAAATTTCCAGGTAAGATAAAAGGACCAACTGAATGATCGCCAAAAATACCAGCCCAAACATTTAATTTTTGTGGCTGCTGTGTATGAACCTCATGATAAATTCGGGGATTAGAATCGGACCAATATCGGCAGTTATGATGACTTACTACGCCATTTAAGAAACAGGAACATTCGTCGGAAAAGCAAGTGTTGAATAGAAAATGTTTATCGTTTATAATTCGTTCACTCATATCTTCGCAAAATTGTAATCGCCGATCAAAATCGTCTTCATTAAGTTCAGGTGAATTTTATACGGATGGAAACTATGGGCCTTTAGAATCCTTTGGGCAGTCGTCGACTAACACCACACACAGTCTCCAATTTGCGGGTACTTAACGCAGGATCTACATAAACTTGCCCTAAAACCCCCACTTCTATTGCTTCGTTCCTTATGGGATTTTCAATGTTTTTTATTGGCGACTGACCCAGTTTCCCGAAATTTAGCTAGTTCTAGAACATATTTTCGATGCACGTTACTGTTCTCATGTCGCTCATTAAATATTTCTGCATTAGCGCACTGATTATTTCCGAAAAATATTTCGATAATTTCAACTCTTTCTGCTGTGGAATATACCATGATTAATTTATGTAATAAAGCGTTACAAGTTATTTTAGCAACAAAGTTTGGTCAAATCAATCGCAAATTATGTACTAAATTCCTATTTAAAATAAGTACGAGATATTTCCTTATCTTTCTTCAAGAAATCACTTTTTAACCACAAAAAAATGCTCCAATAGCTATTTTCAACAACAAAGTGATAAACAAACAATGGGCGTGGTGAAGAAAATCATTTTCTTATTAAGTAAATTCTTTTAGTCAAATTTCTTCTGAAAGTAGTACAAACTAATCCTATGTACCTATTAAAGTCTATTTTAAGCTTGAAATCAATAAATATTCAAAACTACTGAACTGAAGCTCATGTATTTTACATTATTATAAAGGAAATTGAAAGACCTTTAAAATAAGGTATCACTAGACCCCCCTTTCCATTTAAGATTTTAGGGTTGGTGTCACCCCCGCCCAGGGGGCTGCACGTGTTAACGTGATTTTTTGCCAAACTTGTGTCCCCCTCGAAAAAAAAAATCGACGGGTCTGAGCGTTTTTCCAAAAAAAATTGAACTGCCAGTAAATGCGTCTGTTTCGTTTTCGATGCGCCACCCTGTATATAGAGATGGAAGCGTACGAATCTTCAGCTTCTTTATGAACTAATTACTGCGATTTTATCCACAATATTAGCGCAATTTCATTTTGGAGACCCTGGGGAAAGAGAAGCTCATATCATTGGCTTTCAAATGTATAGACTATAGGTAAAGCAAAGGACAAGATATCTTGCACAAAGAAAGGAATGCTGAGAGAAAAATTCCCAGGTAGTTCATTCAGTGTGACTTCAGTTGGTGTGTGAAGCATCGCTGATATGTCGAATTTTCTTCTAAGATTCGTCGAATATTCTTAGTAGTCGGAGCAGCGGCACCCGAAATATGAGAGGAGTACCACAGGGCAAATATGTTGCTAACAGGCTGCTGAAGACACCTTCTTTTTATCATCCGTTACAAAAGAACCTGATCAAAAAATCGAATCTGAAAATGCATGATCTAAATAAGAGGATAGTTGCTCAGCTCTCGTTCTGAGACCATGCTGAGGAGTTGCCAAATAGCACGAAACGTCTGTCGATGGTTCGCCGTCTATGGTCGGACTTACGAAAGCTATATTACTAGTACATATTTCTTTATTGCAGAGATAAAAGGTCATATCTTCAGGATGTGTATGTGTCCATATGTATAGACTTTACACCTGAGGTGATTGAACTAATAAATCTTGAACACCAGCGTTTGCATCTATCGTACATTCGTGCATATGAGACATTAAAGGTAGTTCTGAGAATTTCATTGCAGACACAAAAAGTGACGCGTTCATGTACATAAAAGCACTGGCAGACGCTACCAGAATTCATAATCATTGGTCATTCACAGAATTTTAAATACGGTCGACCTTAGTTATTGGGTCAATTTTGAGGACTTCTTTAATTTGGACATCATTAGTAGTCATGCTGAAGGAAGATCAAAGTCAAGTGTCAATTTGTCTTTATGAATAACAAAATACTTATTTATACAGTAAGAATGCAATATTATTACACACAACGGGTTATTTTGTATTGCATTTATACCTATATGGCCTCCTTGATTTCCATAGTTTTCTCATCCCACTTCTGAATACGGGATACAGAAAGACAAAACCTTATTTTTTGCCTAAAATATTGTGGTGTACCACCCTGGAGATAAAAGATAATCGTCAACGATTGATAAATATCATTCATATTCACACTTTTAAAATTATAGCAAGTTGATTGCTATGAATAATAAAGTTATGAACGAACACGAAATGAAATAATATATTCAGTCACACCCAGTTCTGTGTAGTTATCTCGCCCGATCCTCATTCAACAGAATCGGATTAATCCATGTTTATGCTGATTGCAAATTCTCATTCGGTAAAAATACAGTTAAAAATGATCGGCGAAGTATATTGACCTCTTGATTGGATGGGTCTCCTTTGTATGTGTGTATATATTTATCTGAATGTAAATTGGTTCTTGAACGTTAAAAGGATGGGTCTTTGCTAATTGGCTTGCCGGTTGACTTCTGTTGACATTTTTTTGTGTGAAAATACGGCTGCTGATCCGTTTGAGATTCCGGAAAGTAGGTCTAGCAATAATCTTAGTGTCCATCCGTTACCCTGAATGCGCCCAATAAAATACTAACAATATGTATATATTCATCCAGAAATCTGGATCGTCAGGTTCGAGCCCATTAATCATGCTCAAAGTGAATGAGTAACCAAT